GTTGACACAGGGTGATGTCTAAAACCTGCAGGACACCGGCCCGCGAGGCCTGGAGTTGCCTACCCCTGATCTAGAGTAATAAGGTTCATCAGATGTTTCCTGGAGCTGCTGATGAATCCTGCCAGAAGTTGAACTTCTGATCTCTTCACTGAACATTATCCCAGAATCCTTGTAGTGGAAGAGCTCCTCCTGACACATGCTGCCACATGTTTGTGGTGACCTTTGTTATTCGGTGCTTACACTGAACACATGAACACAAATTTAAATGTGATTTTTGGAACAGACCTTTAGAATCCAGCTTGGTGCATCTAATGCTGCTTGTTCTGTTGTAGTGATGCAGATGTTGTTCACACAGATTCAGTTTTGCTGTGAAGAACACGACCTGCACTGTAGCTTTATGAGAAACCACTATGTTAACCATTATATTCCTTATGTTTCATTATATTTCACCTCAGAGGCCCAGGACGTGAGTGGGTGTTAAGGTGTCTGATATAGATGGCAGACAGTTGGTGTCGTAAGCCCCGCCCTCTGTTCAAAGATGGTCGCTCACAGTGGACACAGATGCTTCTTTCACTCCTCTTTCAAACCATCTGTCCTCTCTGTCCAAAATGTGAACATTGACATCGTCAAAAGGGTGACCTTTGACCTTTAGATGCAGATGGAGTCTTGTCCTGTGGAGGTGACTTTTCTATGTTGTCCCATGTGATTATGAAGTGGCTGTTTGGTCTATAGGTACTGTTGTCACTGAGGAGTGACAGCTGGTAATATGGTGATGTTGTGGTCTTTGCTCAGGTAAGAGACGACCTTCAGGTCATCTTCCGATTAGTGGACGACCTGCTCTACCTCCTGAGCTACAGCCACACTAATGCAAAATGTGAATGAGAATGCCAGAGTGGCACAATCAGAACAGACAAGGACAGGAGAGATAGCAGCACTGTGTGATGAAGGACTTTCAGGCACCTGTTAATGTGTGAAAACCAGGGCTGGGTATCGTCACGGATTTCTAGAATCGATTTGATTTGAATATTATAAATATAAATATTATAATTTATTTATAATATTTATTATTCATTATAATATTATAATTCTGATCACATATCAGTACATATCTATATTTTTAGATCTATAAAAATAAAGCTGACACTGAGACTTCATCAGAGGTGTGAGCATCACAGCAGAGGCCTTTGTGTCAAAGTAACTGAAACACAGAAAAACATGAAGGAGATTTTCCTGGTCTGGGTTTTTATAGCAGATGACCTTAAAAATATTGTGCAGTAGATGAAAAACGAAGTGAAGCAGAGCAAAGTTACAGAGGTTTGATCAGAGACACAGCTCAGCGTTTTGCAATTTTGCATCATTTTAAAAAGTTTACATTTGTTCAGTAATAAACAGCAGAAATGAGGCTCTCGTGTCGGAAGTAAGTAAAAAAAACAACAAAAAAAAAAACAGCGGGCGACAGCGTAGACTGGTGGGTAGTAAGTAAGGGTTTTGATTATCAATGTGGAGAGAGAGAGAGAGCGAGAGAGAGCGAGAGAGAGAGAGAGCGAGAGAGAGAGCGAGCGAGAGAGCGAGCGAGAGAGAGCGAGAGAGAGAGAGAGAGAGAGAGAGCGAGAGAGAGCGAGAGAGAGAGAGCGAGAGGGAGCGAGAGAGAGAGAGAGCGAGAGAGAGAGAGAGCGAGCGAGAGAGAGAGAGAGCGAGCAAGAGAGCGAGCGAGAGAGCGAGCGAGAGAGAGAGC